CCTGCTTAGTTTTCTGGTTGGAAATAAATCGCTGCTGCTGTTAGTGCTGCTCACTGCCAATGTTGTTGTTGCTGCCGCTCCCGTTGGCTGGTATGGCTTTAGTCTAGTTTAGCCAGGCGAACAACGCAACCTTAACAGCCAACAACACAGACAGATGAACAACTGGAGGGAGCGCCTAGCGTTCCTACTACTGTCGCGGCTGTTGCTTACCCAGTAAAAACCGCAGCCGATATGCTTTCGCTGCGACAAAGACGGATTTCCGTTGCCGTTGATGTCTGACGCTGCAGCGAACTGAATCCGCCGTTTATTAGACCAACGCACTCACTGCATAGTCGTCTCTCTAATGTCTATATGCGTCTGTTGTCTCCACTACAAACTCTCATTGATTTGCGTCACTCTTGACGACAGATTGTATAATGGAGCGTAGAGGGTGAATATAACAATTGCAGTACGCAGAGAAAAATACAAATATATCTGAACGATAGTTGTTCAGTACGTCACTCTTGCTTTCTCCGAAAAATCCCCGTAGGCATTTAACAACCTCTGCCGTCAGATAGCTGCCTTCAGTGCAATCTCTCCGGTCTAACGCGCAGTAAGAAGGGGGAAAAGCGTAAAACCGCATAGTAAAGAGGGAGGGTTTGCCAGAAAAAAACCCTTCTCTCTAACCCTCCTCACCAATCTCTCTGTCGCATATCTTCAACCCCATTTCAAGTGACACATAGACACTACTAACTTGCTGCTAGACAGCGATAAAATATCAATATTTTATATGTACACTGCCCAACATATAGACAGACGTAAATACGTACCCAAAATTACAGGCTACTGGACGTACACAAACACATAGGCACAGATACACACATTCAAACATACATACATACATACAAACACACCACATAGGCACAGGACGCACCACACAAGTACACCCAACAGCACTTTTACATTCCGATTTGCCTTTGTTGTTGTCTCCTGCATCTTTTTTTTCACTTTTATCCATTTTTTGAATGCACCAAAACTAATGCAGAACTAATGCAAAATGTATAAAAATACGCAAAAATTTTTTGTCTCTCAATATGGCAGTTTAAATGTGTTGGTTTCAGAAAAACAAAGTAAGAAATCCAAAAAATTCTTTTGTTTTTGTTTCTGTAAATTTATGGTCACCCATGAATAAAGTTGTGTTCATCGGAAGCACCAGCAACAATAAATATAGTAGTAAATGCGGTGGTCACCGAATCACACTAGTCATCAGTAACTGTTGTCGTCGTGGTCATTACCTGTGCCCAAAGTCGCTGCTGTGGGAAGCTCTTCTTCTGAGAATTTTTTTTCTTTTCTTTTACCAAATCCATTATAATCATTGAATAAGAATTACGCGAAAATTGCGAACCACCCTGTACCGCAAATTTTTTAGCACAATCAGTGCCAGTACGAATGTAGTTCACTTTTTTCTTCGTTCCCGTAATAACCTGGATGTCCTTGAATGTTACCTTGCCATCTTCCTTCTTTCTTACGTTCTCCCCTCAACCTCTCTTATTTCACTCGTTGTAACTAGATACAAGTAAATATTTTGATCGTTTTTCGCCCTCCTATTTGTCCTCTCTTAGTCTTCCCTAATGCCGAAATGGTAAACATGTTCTAGACAATATTTCACTAACTACGTACAAAACGGAGGGAAAACATAAGGTGAGCAGTTAATTTCACTTCTTTCACCAACTAATGGGGGGAATCAAAAAATAGACAAAAAATGTCAAGAAACCCAGTGAAAGATGACAACGGGAGAAGAAAGTATACATATATTAGGAGAAAATTGAGCATTAACGCCGAGAAAATTTATGAAAACAGCAATAGCAGCATTTGGCAAAAAGAAGCGCCCAGTATTTTAATGGGGAAAAATAGTGGCGCTATTGCTGTTGTGATAGTTGACGAGTTCGAAGGCTGTTTTTTTTTTTTTTT